GAGAGTCACCGTGATGTAGACACAATCCAATCGTGGGGTTTCATGCAGAGTGAGAGGGACTTGGGGAATTTAGCCATTGCAGACCATTTACATGCACAAAAACCGAAATAACACTCTACAGGAACGTAGTGCATTATTCTATGTTTTGGTTCATATTTTTTTCTGGAAACCACAAAAAGCATAAAGGGCCCCTTTAAGACTTTTTGACCTCTTACAAGTCAATGTGGAAATAAGCCAAAATACAAAAAAAGCGCAATTCAATTGTTTGTTAAAGTATCAGCGATGAGTTAGTAGTAAAACATGTTAATGTAAATAATGTATTTAAATAATAACGCATACAGTATGAAGGGAAGGCCATAATATGAGAATAATAGACAAAATATACAAACTGACAGAGAAAAAAACCAAAATGGATGTCTGCGCGTGACTCTGAGAATACCGGACACGTGCACATACACACCAACAAAATGGAGCAGAGAGAGACATTTTAGTCCATTTGATCTGTTTTTAGTTGCACTTTCGTCCTGCTTTCGGACGATTTTATTGAACTATGAAATGCTACTTTTGGGTTTTTCCAAATTAAAATAGTTCACAACACATTTGTTTTTGTTCCCAACTTTGGAAAGTGTAGGAGGCCTTAGAGCAGACTCAGTGTCCCAGACCAGTCCACTCATTACCTTTGATGTTTTTACTGACCCTTCATTTTATTTTCATCGTTGCTAGAACGGTTTTTCTTAGTAGACATTTTCTTCTTCTTTAGGTTTTTGTTTTCACTAGTTTATACTTATACAGTAACTACTTTACGGCAGTTTGTCCGGCAGTGGCTCAGTCAGTAGAGGCTTGGACTGTGAGCCGTAGGGTCGCCGTTCAAGTCCCAGACCAGACCTAAAATATGGACTGTGGACTGCTACTTGGAGAGGTCCCAGTTCACCTCCTGCCCTGCCGTGGTGCCCTTGAGCAAGGCACCGGACACCCCCCTTCCCCCCTCACTCCCATTGCTCCCCGGGCGCTGTGCAATAGCTGCCCACTGCTCCTAGTGCTAGACTCCTGGTACTAGGATGGGTTAAATGCAGAGGCAACATTTCACTGTGTGCTGTTTGCTCTGCATGTGAGACCATTAAAGAGGGTTTCATCTCTCGCAATTCTATTCTACTTTAAAGTGTATTTTCCCATCAGAAACTGTCACTTTTCAAATCACTTTAAATGCATTGTCAGTAGCCCACTGATAACCCTAACCAAAAAAATCAGTTCCCAGGTCAGAAGGGGAGGACACATTCTCATCAACAGAGACACCCTTTAAATAAAATTACTTTTACAATCTATAATCAATTATCAGACAGTGATTATTTTCCCGGGGATCAAAACAAGACACACAGAGGTATGTGCGACATACCTCTGTGTGTCGGCAGAAGTAGAAGAAGAAAGCTTTAATTTGAGCGGTTGAGTAATTGTACGTTTGTGACTGAGGCCTCAGAACTCATCAAGCTGTCAGATTGCAGACACACTGTGTGACTGTAATCAGACTGTCAGTTTGCGTTTTAACCCAGTGAGTAACAGCGTCGAGTGTGTCTGTTTGCATTAAAAAGTCAGTGACTAATAAATGGCTTTTTATGCATGATGTGAATGTGTTTGTGTGGATATTCTGAGCCTGCATTGAGTCTTATAAACTTTTAATTTGCGTCTATTTTGGATTACCGTTGATGGTTCATTCGAAATATTGCCAAAGCAGGTATCGAAGAGACGCCTTGTTGTGACAATTTGTTTCAACTTTCTATGGGACCATGTCTTGCTTGTTGGTCGTCTGTCGCAATTTGTGACCCCTACAAATTCTGATCCCGAAAATGCATTGTCAATCAGGTTCCGCTGGATATTGTTTGTTTTATGACATTTCTGATCAACGTCTGCTGAAGATGTCGTAGAAGGTTACAAATAATATATGACTTTATTCCAAGATTAATGTTAAAGGTGGGGTAGGTAAGTTTCAGAAACCGGCTCGAATGCACTAAAATTTGAAAGTACACAGCCGAAAAGAATCCGCCCCTTCCTTCAGACTTCCTTACAGAGCACCTCCTCCAACACACATGAACGCGCAATGCACGCCCAATGAGGGCACGAGATACATTTGTGCGTGCACGAGATGGAAGGCTGACAGACAGGAAGGCAATCCAATCCATTTAGCCGGGGCCGGCTAAACGGATTGGTCGTGCTTTTTACAGTATTACGGCTTCCACAGATAAAATAATGTTATGGATGTTAAGAGCATTCCATGGAATATAACAACAAGTGTATCTCGAGCCGGTTTCTGAAACTTACCTACCCCACCTTTAAGTAGACTCTGAAATAAAAACCAATGGTAAATATGCATTGGTAAATCTGCACAATTTAAATCTATTCTAGTAGACCTCAACAATGGAATTATCATCAGTAGAAATGGCCATGTCATGGGACCTTTAAAGTAATCCAATTGGAATTCCATCAGCAATTTGCTAGATGTGAAAGGCACAGGTACAACACAGTCCTGGATAACAATAAGGTTACAGTTTTAAGTTTATATATTTTTTAATAAAACAGCAGTACTTATCAGTGTTTCTCTGAATTGAAGAGTCCCTTTGGAGCAAAGCTTGCGCAAAATTATATTACGTGTGAACATAAATAAAGACATTCGTGTGGGGAAGAAACAGAGCATCATGTTTCTGAAATGTCTAGGTTTTTATGTTCATCTATTTGTCTGTTCGAAGATCATAAATCCTGATGTGTAGAAATGTGTTCATGTGTCTAGTTTAGTGTAGTAGTGAACTCAGATGTAAACAACTCTGCATCTGCATGTGAGGGTGTGTGTGTGTACTATATGGTGTATATCATCTGACAGACTCAGACACTTTACGAGCAATTCAAGTTTAATGATTGAGTCTAAACACCGCTGCGAGCGTACAATACACATTCCACGAGAATTCAGAGAATGCTCGTCTGTCTGGATGAAACCCACTTAAGCTCGTTTTCATTCTTATTAACCCGCCTCTCAAAGTCGGCAGGATGTTAAACAAAACAGTCTTTTGGGGACAAAATGTGTGAAAAGCCAAGTCTAGCAGATTGAACCTCAAGGATTGAAGGATTCAAGGCTTTTATTGTCATACGTAAATAGCTACAGTGTAGTTATGTAGATGAGAATCTTAGGTCACAGGCTCCTCCAACAGAGCAACACAATAAAACAGATAAAATAGTGCAAGTTAATACAATAAAATATAATAGAAGTAGTGCCATAATTGGTCTACCCTACTTTATTTCATGATAATCAAATCATCTTGTCAGAATAATACACTGCTCCTTTCTTCCTGGAGGTTTCTCAATGCTCTTCCCGATACATGCTTTTGTTTGAAATAGAAATACCTCATATAACCAACTTATATTTGTGTGTGATTTTGGTCATTTCTGCACATAAGACAGCTGTTGCCTATTTGTCCACCCTGGAAAAGGGATCCTTCCTTTTCCATATTGAGGGTCTAAGAGGGTGCTCTACAGAGTTACAGTCATTTGAGGCAGTTTGGGTTGTAAAAATAGAGACATAGGATGTGACAGTGGGTTGTAAGTAAATATTGCACAGAGTGATCACAAACTGTAAATGTAAATGAAAGCAACGCTACAACTCTGGAGTCTTTTAGGGTAATGTTGCACTAAACAAAGTGAACGATCAGAACCAAGAACCAAAAGGGCGCAGACCTCTGCTAAGGATGTTTCCATAAGAGAATAAATGGCGCTTGTATCTGTCCCGTGACCAGCTGCTTCGACTGTTACACCCTGACAAACAGACACCCAACCCTTGGTTTAAACATTAAAGATGTTCCATTTTAAAACACAGTATATCAAGCTTTTTTGAGCCATCATTTGGGCTGGAAGTGAATAACAAGCAAATCAGTGTTTAGTATTTATCTGAATATGCCCTATACACCGCAATGTTTCTTCAAAGTGCAGGTGCCATATGATAACGTAGTAAATCTTGTTACTAAATACGATTGCAAAGTATTATGTTATTATTATCTATCCACTGCAGGCACGATACACAGCAAGTGTTGGCCTTGTGTGATGAGATGAGGTTTATCCAGCCTTGAAAGGTGAACTTCTTGATGAAAAACAAACTTTTTTTTTGTTGTATTCCTATATATTTGTGACACTAAAATATCAATAAATCTCATTCAGTTTTTCTCAAAATGTAACCTTGGTCCCCCGGTTCCGTATTTCTTGTTTAAATGCAATCGCCCTAAGAACTCTTCTTAAAGAAAAGACATAAGAAACACAAAATAAAGGCAGTTACCCCGATATGTTGAAACAAGGTAAAATATGTGCCTTCAATTATTAGAAAGTAAAGGTTCTCCAGGGTGATGACACAAACATATACTTTCATACTTTGTAACGAAACATGGACTGCTACACATACAAAGTCAAATTAGTCTGGTTTCACAGACAACTTCTCAATTATCCAGAGAGACCTCAGTCAGATGATTTCCGTCTGTCTGTGAGGAAGCTGAATCACTATCATACCAGCAGACACTATATGCTGCTGTTTTTTCCCAGAGCCTGTCACTACATGTCCTTAAATTAACTTCATGCACAATGAGAATGTGTGTGTCTGTCTGTGTGTGTGTATGGTATGTGTGAGTGTGTGTCTAAAGGAAAGAGGCAAACAAAAATATTCACATGTCTGTCTGGGTTGTAAATGTCTGCATGTCTTTATCCATGTATTTGCATCATGTGTGTGTGTGTGTGTGTGTGTGTGTGTGTGTGTGTGTGTGTGTGTGTGTGTGTGTGTGTGAGTGTGTGTGTGTGTGTGTGTGTGTGTGCGTGCGTGTGTGTGCCCCCATACCACCACAGCACCAACCACAGGAAGAGTGGGAGAGAGAGGAGAGGTGGACCCAGGAGCGGTTAACCTCATGACATCACAAGCTCACAGCTGATTGGCTGTTGCCTATAGCTGGATGGTTTATAAGCCAACCAGGAGCCTCGGATTCAGCAGCAGCATCTTTGAGAAGCACAAACAACATCCAGGGAAACCCAGGAGATAAACCAAACACAAACCACGTCTGCGTGTTCCGGCTCCACAGTCTGCTGAACTCCTGTCACTTCCTGCGACTGCAAACAAGGTCAGGATCAACACAGATTTTACTTTCTGAGCACTGTTTAGTAAGAGTTGTTTTGCAGCATTGGTGGCATGTTGAGATGTTAATATTTGTCGAAGCTGCTGGAAATGTGGTTTATTTACATTACCAAATACAATTCATATACAACTTTCAGGGTGAGAGGCCTGAAGTTCTTCTGTGCATTTACAGTTATGGGCAAACGTTTTGTCTACTTAATTTTGGTCTTGGGCTGTTTTTCATTATTAGGCCAGGTCTCTTATAGTTCCAATGAAGGGAAATCTTAATGCTACAACATTCAGTAATATCTTAGACAAGCGATTTAATATTTTTTGTTCATCTTTTGTGCAATCCTTCTAATCTCAATCAAACAAGAGTTGTGTTTTGATAAAATATCTACATTTTCAAACCAATTATTATTGTCATTGTTGACAGTGTACCAGGCTGGTTTCCAACATCTTTTAGGAAGTGGGGGCTGTTATTTAAACAGATTAATGCCCACCAGTTTTGGAATTACTTTTTAACTATCACATTTGAAACAGTGTGTTTCATTTTCTTTATTAATTACTTCTTTCAAGACTTATGAGTAATTTAGAAACATTTGACAAATACTACACTGAAAAAATTGCAATTGACATTTAATGTACCTTTATTTTGTACTAATACTTTCAAAAAGAAAAAACATCATCTAGTCCCAAAAGTCTGTCGAACTTATAAACAAGAGAAACATTTTGGTGGGACAATCTTAACTCAAATGTTATACAAACTGGTTTGAAATGTTAACATCAAACTTGTGCTCCACAAGGAGGGTTTGGTTATCCTTCGTCAGAAAATGCTCTGCAATTTATTACATTTAATTATGCGTTCTTTTTTAAGAGTTACAGTGGTGGAAGTCCGCCTGGGATTAGCAAGAGGCTGCGTTTGATTGGTTGATTAGTTACACAGTGACACAGAGGCAGAAAGGGGAAGCTGTGGGCAGCAGGGAACTAATTTCTGGTGTCACATGACTTGACTAACAACACTGAGTAAACACAGTGGCAACACACACACAGACACACACACACTGAGTTACTTACTACCAGCTCAGTGTACAGAGTTTTTAACTGAAAAGCTGAAGAGACATTATCCTGTTGGTCCTCTGAGTTCACTTTAAAAATAAGAGCTTGGTTGGTTAGGGGAATCCTGTCAACCTGACTCTAAAACAATACTCCAGGAAATAGTCCGGCCCATAACTTGCTTTTTTTTCAATTAGTTTTTTGTACAAATTGAACAAAAATAAATGTCTTTATTAGTGAGTTTCAGAGAGTTTACTTTTGGACAGAGCTAGGCTAACCGCTTTACCCCCCTGCTTCCGGTCTTTATGCTAAGCTAGGCTAATTCCCTGCTAGCTCAGCTTCCTAAAATACAGATATAAGACTTGGACAGTTCTTCTCAAAGATTTTGGAAGAAAATGAATAAACACATTTCCCAACATGTCTGAGTATTCCACCACAGCTATGTGTCTAACCCCAAACCGTACTGTTACCCTAACCAAATCCTTGATACTAAAACTAACACAGAACAGCGGGGTCCAGAGATAATGTCCATGCTTTCGAGTACTGAAACTTTAATGATGCCTCTCAAAGATAGACGTATACAGAAATACACACATGCATACATATGGGCGGGCGTATGTCATGTTTCTGCCGTGCTGTGGATTTCCAGTTATAACCCGGTGAATTACATAGTATACTGTATGAAGAGTCCATCATTACAGATAGACGCAGACACTCTGACTGCTCCTCCCACGGCATCGGCTAAAAGAAGAGCTTGTTACAGTAAGAGAGTTGAACAGAGAAAAATAGAAGGGTTTATAAAGCTGCTGTTGACAATACCTGCTCTATGTTCATGACATGTTACTGTTAAAAGTCTGTGTTGGCAAGAATGACCATTGCTGTGACTTTGCACAAAATCCCAATACCACCAATAAACTGATCCCAATAACCCTAACCCTATATAAGTATTGTTTATGTACCTAAAACTGGGTCTTAATCAAATGTGTTTTACTCCTCTGTGGAAAATAGTACCCAAAAAGTGAAGTATTTCCTCCTATTGCCTTATTTTGGGATATTTATCTTTACTGACTCTTATTTATTTCTGAAAACAAGGGACTGAGCTGGTGGAGTTTTAGATGACTTCAAAGTAAATATAGTTCCTTGAACCTAAAAAGAAGTAGCCAAATACATTTTCTTGCAGTGTAGATTGATGTCTTTTATTTCACGACATCTGTTTGCAGTCAACAGCTCATTGTAATGATATGATGAGAAGCATAAAGTGTAATACCTCCTTACAAAGTGCTTTGCAGAGTGACTCAGGGGACTAGACTCAGATGGTAAAAACCTTGAACTGTTTCCCTTTTTCTTCCTTCAATCTTTTCAAGCCAAACACCCACAAAAATAATACCCGTTATTTCCTCACGTCTTCTCGACCAGAATCGTCCAGAAGCATCCTGTCCCATAGTCGAATAAACCACGCACCAAAATGATGTGATTTTCTCGCTCTGATGACAGACAAAATGTTTAACTACCTCAAACTGGGTTGTCAGGGTCACATAAACGCATGTTTAGGTGTATAATTAAGGACTTAATGACTTCCTGAGAACTACCAAGGCCTCCGGAAGTGCCACTGCTACAGAAGTGTGCCTGTGCTGCCTACATTTTTTAGAAGGAATCTGGGCGAGATAATTGACGGAGGAGACTAGCAGCTCCTTTTTAGGTTTGACATGTCATTGTGTTTCCTGTGAAGTTATGGCCTCCGGGCGAGTATTCGATATAGAACAAGCTCTGTGCCTCATGATTATGTTTCATTGTTTTATTGTGTTGTACAATGATGTTTTTTTGTGTGACCTCAACCTGCATGTTTTTTGGTTTCCCCCCCATCCAGACACAATGAAAGTTGCCGTTGTTTTCGTGCTGCTCTTCGCCACAGTCCTCTGCCGGCCGGTAAGTCATTCTGTCTGTCGAGGCAAAACTTCAATGTAACTTTTGTGGAAATGACAAAAACCATTTTGTACATAATTCCTAAGATGCATGAGACATTTCTGGTTATCCGTTTTCTAAGTCTGAACAAAAATTAATTATGGATCTACATTTATGATTTAACAACAAGTAAGAACATAGTTTTGGATTCTATTGCAGGTGACATTTATGTTGTTGTTGTAGCCCAAACAAGTATTACCAATGGTGTTTTCCCACCCATTTCCCACAATACCCTGTCAAGTTATCATCGTTTTAAATCATAAGCAAAGGAAGAAAACTGTTTTGATAAGCTTTCAATCAGATATAGGTGCCCAGATTGTTTTCTTTATAACTTCCCTCTAAAGGCTACCGTAGATTTAGTCTTAAAATGCATTAGATTACATCAGTTTTCTTTATTTACTTTCTGACTAATGTTCGATTCAATATGTAAATATATATTTGTTTGCTTTTTAGGCAACAAAGGTTTCTGTCAGCAGTTCAGAGAGCTCTGAAGAAATGGTGAGTATCTGGAGAGAAAGAGTTAGAAATTGAAAAATATAGAAATAGTTCGACATGAACTCATCTTGGTTGATCTTGTCCACAGGCGAGAAGACCAGCAGCTCCAGCCCTCACGAAACAAGCGCTTCCTGAGCTTCGTGCAGCACCTCTACAGGTAAAATATTTTTGGTTTATTCAGAACTCCATATCTATTGTTATGTTTTGTTGATGATTTGATCATGTTTATCTACGATTGGACGCCGTTTTTTAAAGAAGAAATGGGTTTCAAGCTGGAGGTGTGGAGCTTGAAAAATGTAGGCTTTTGAGTTGCATTGTGGGATATGTTGGATTTGGATTGGATCCAGTATTTTTGGGGCTTGACCCAAGGGAAGTCAACCCTAACTCTGTCAACCTTTATCATGTGTTTCCCCTTACTTTATTGACATTTGCGCTTTGCATAATTATCTCATCCTACAGCCTAGTCCATTAATACACATTTAGCAAAAGCAAGAAATAGTCAGAATGGCTCAAATCTTTTAAAACATGTGACATGAGGATTATTCAAATGTATTGTCTTTCTCTTGTTGCAGAACGTTGAAGCAGCACCTTCTACCAACTCAGACGAGACCACAGAGAGCTCAGATGAAGACGAGGTGAGAGACGTCAAATCAGTATTTTAAATCTTTTAACAACATTTGATTATTCTTTTGTTTGTAGACTGCAGATATACTTTAGGAAAGTTTAACACTTTGTGATTGAATGATTCTTGCAGCAGGTGGCAGCAGAGGCTCTAGTAGAAGTCAAATCAGAGAGCGCTGACACAACTTCATCCCCAGAAACAGCCTCTGTCAGCAGCCAGGACAGTGAAGACAGTGATGTTGATGATGACGATGAAACAGAGGAGACTGTAAGTAAATAACACCTCTGGTTGGATAATGGACATTAGCCAAATAAGTCACAATTTATTGCTGTCAATATACAGACATAACATATACAATCACTGAGTAGTCCTGCAATTAAAAGCCTATTCATCTTTTCCTCAAAATAATGATTGCTTATCAAAGTAGATTGTGACATCCATAGCAAAGGTACAGGGTGGGAAATTCAAACCTGGCCATCTGTACCAAACACCAAAGCATATTTTAACCCTCCAACTCTCACCTCCCTCTGTTTGACCAGGAAAACAATGAAGATGAATCTAGCGACAGCGCAGAGTCGGGCGAATCCTCGTCCCCCGCTCCTTCCACACAAACCCTTGTGTTAGCCACAGATGAACCCTTGGCTGAGACCACTGCTGAGCCCATCGTTCCCACCATCGTCACCGACATCCCCGCCACAGATTCAGGCCGTGGCGACAGCTTGGGACGCTACCCCAGCGACTACAAGTCCAGTGACTACAAGTCCAGTGACTACAAGTCCAGTGACTACAAGTCCAGTGACTACAAGTCCATCAACTACGTGGAGGACAAATCCTACAACAAGGTTCCCGGCCCCTACAAGTCCTACGAATTCATGGGCACCGGAAAGAAGATGGACTACGACATGACAGAGGGCAACGAGGTGGACAAGTCACTGAAGGTGTACAAGGTACAGTTTAGTTATGGTTTCTTGACAGTGTTAGTCTGTCCATAGAGTCGGAAAAAAAAGATAAACTGTAATACAATATGCTGCTAGATTAAATTACCACACAGGTGCTACCTTCTAACACCTACTAAGTTACCGTTAACCTAACCGCTCTCATTCCCACTCATTAAAAACCTACGTTTGGTCAACCGCCTGGTATCACTTACATTTAAAAAACTAAACACTTTCTAAGATTTAGTCAAAGATCATGGTTAAAATAAGGAAGTTATGTTTGTGATCTAAGTAAAGTATGTCACTTAACTTACTACATAACTTTAACCTAGCCAACGTTGACTTTGGGTCTCACCCGGTACTCAAGGAGGGTGAAAGTCCTGTGTTTGTTTGACCCTTCCATCTATCCAACAATTTCTTCATTGACATTGAAAGAATTTATAATACATCACCTGACTCGAATAAGTGGTTCTGAGTGTCTAATATTGCCATGAATGGATTTACATTGCGGAAATTGCAAGCCCAATATATCCAATGCAGACGTTAAACAGGGCCTTGAAAAAACGTTGGTATTGACACCATGCAAAAGACACCAGGCTGACTACGCATATAAGCTTTTACAATAAGCAGAATCAAAGCTATTCCTAATGTTTTAACACAAAACCCTACATACAACTTGAATGTCTTCCTCTGCCTCCCCTCCAGGCTATTCATGTCCACTCTGACCTCCTGGAGGAGGACACCAGCACCCCTGAGGTGGAGAGCCAGGGCCTCGACGCCTCCTCCGGCACCTCTCAGGACCAGGTCATCAGCCCCCGCCAGGCCTCTTTCTCAGAAGAGGAGGAGAGCGCCAGCGCTAGCGACGCCTCCACTAGCGAGAGCTCTAGCGCTCCTGAGGAAGAGGAGGAGGAGGAGGAGGAAAGCGCCAGCACAGCCAACGACAGCGACAGCGCCAGCGCCAGCCAGGAGTCGGAGGACGAGGAGAGCCAGAGCAGCGAGGAGGCCACTGCCACACCTGGAGCCGCTGACAGCGACTCAGATGAGAGCACTGAGAGTGACGAGGAGGGGGCGGGACCTGTCATCACCACTGAAATGCCAGTGGTCATCACCACTGACATGCCAGCGGTCATCACTGCCAAATAAGCATCTCACATCCAATGGAAATGGAAAGGAGGTGTCAGATAGAATAAAGCGCACACGCTGCATTGAGGTGCAAAACGCCCTCCACTTTCCACTGTAGGGCCAAACAGGGACCGCCAAGGCTTGATTATTTTGTTGATTTTAATATGTTCCGACATTATTTCTGTGATTATTTGTGCATCGTTAGGAAAGCTGAATTGCTGTTCCTTCTGGATTGTATTTAAATAAACCAATTACCCCTGCATCCTGTGGTCTGGTTGCTGGTGGTAGGATGTTGAAATCGCGACTGCAACAGAAGGTTGACTGACCTCATGACCTTTGCCCACTCCCTTCTAACCTCCGTAGCTGGAGTCCTGATATCTACACCAGCACTACACATCATTTAACCATTTACTTATTACTGCAATATGCAAACCTACATTGTGTTGTGCTTATAAGAATACAAATGCACCGTTTATTTAAATAAATGTAATCATTTTAAGTGTAACGAAAAACTTGACATTAAGCCACACATTTGCTGCCTGTGTGGCTTAGCTTCTTTGCTAGCTAGTAACAAATCTGCTTGTGTAGATAAAATGATTCAAACAGAGAAACTATTATAGGGTTCAGTCGGTTATAGATACACACACACACACACACACACACACACACAATCCCTTTCATTTGCACAGTCACCTACCTACAGTACATGTTGTTTGTCCCATGTTGTTTACTGTGTTGTATCATATTGTACCATTTATAATATTTGAATAAAGTTCTTTTTTCATAAAAAGAGATGATGGTCGTTTACATTTGTTTAACATTTAAAGACAGGAGGGGTGGTGAGATGATCAGCTGAGATGATAGATTCAAGCATAATTGATTGCAGTTGTAGTCCATTTATGACTACATTAAAAACATAGAAAAATAAAAACAGAAATGCATTTGTGTGCGTTTTTGGATCATTGCATAGGAGGGGAGGGATACACTGTAAACAGCAGCAACAGAAACACTGGTTACTTGTATTGGCAGGTACTTTGTCAGGCATCTCAACATAACACATTTACATCAGGTACACATGGGTTAGGGTTAGGGTTGTCTATCAACGACCTACCCGATAATGTGAGCTCCACGGTCCAGATGTTTGCAGATGATACTAAAGTCTTCAAGGAAATTAAGTGTAACGAGGATGCAGAAAAACTCCAGTCAGATCTCAGAGAAATGCAAAGATGGTCCGAGTGTTGGCAGCAGGGTGGGAATTTCACGACGGCCACGACGGCCATGGCCGTCGTTGCCCAGCACTTTGGCCGTGATGCCCTGTGAAAAAAAATGCAATTCACGGCCAAAGTGGCCTTGGTGCCCCTGTCAAAAGTTCCAGTGTAAACAACGCTAGTAAAGTCATATTAGTGCGCGCAGTAGGATAGTCCCGTGCCTGTGGATCAGAGCGATTGCTCTGCTGTGATTGTTCCTGTCAGAAATGCCTGTAGGGGCCCGACAGCCTGCTCCTCAGCCGCGGGAGCAAGACAAGCACAGGTAAGCAAGCGGACCAAGCTGTTTTGATATGATTTAACTGAAGTATGTGGTAGTATTTGAAAGGACTTAACATTTACGTGTTTATAGAAAGTACTATTGATAGTTAATTACCATTGTATTAGCCTATTTAAAGTCGACTCGTTACATTTTGTCATGAAAACTAGCGATAGCTAGCTAGTTTGGATAGCGCTAACGTCTTCCCTTCAAGGGGTCTACATCTAGTGTTGCTTCTACAAGCTAGCAGATAGCTGTCACCTTTGAATCTAGTATTTGTCTTGCTAAGCGGTTTTGATATAATACATGACTGACTTATGTGGTTTATGGCTGAACTTAACGTATACGTTAAAGAAACACTATTGCTATTCAGCCATTTGTAAAACGACTGGTGTTGACGTTAGTGCTACACTTTTCAGTCATGTTGATTGACCAGCGTAATTTAACCAAACGGCCTTTGTGCCCTGTCATGTGGCCTTTGTGCCCTTGAAAAAAATGTGAACGGGAAGGCCAAATGTCCTTGCCCCTAAAATGACGAAATTCCAAGCCTGGAAAAAAAAAGCCTGGTTGGCAGCTCAAATTCAATGCAGCAAAGTGCAAAGTAATGCACTTAGGTTTTCTGAATCAAAAATATGAGTATAATATGGGTGATAATTCAAACACTATAAACCTATCCGAGACTCAGAATGAAAAGGACCTTGGTGTGAATGTTGACAATACCCTGACATTTAGTGACCATATCCGTCGGGCAAGTAACAAAGCGAATGGTATCCTAGCAATGATCCGCAGATCATACACTTATTTGGACTCTGACGTAGTACGTAGTTTATACATCTCTCTTGTACGGCCACTCCTCGAGTATGGGAATGTCGCTTGGTCCCCCATGTACAAAAAGGATGCTGAGCTCATCGAGAAAATACAGAGAAGGGCAACGAAGCTGGTTCCAGAACAGAAGGACCTACTATATCAAGAACGACTGCAAAGTCTTAAAATCCCTAGTATGTATTATAGAAGGGCGAGGGGAGATATGATCGAAGTTTCAAATATCAAATATCTCCACAACATCTACAAAACATCATGCCCACTACAACGAGATTATAACACCAGGACTCGTGGACAACTGCCTCAAGTTGAAGAAACAGTACTCAAGACTGGCTATCCGCCGCAACTTTTTCAGCCTGCGTGTGGTTGACTTGTGGAATGATCTGCCAGAAAGCGTTGTCACATCCAAGACGGTTAACTGTCTAAAATCCCGCCTCGACCACTACTGGTCAAACATCACCTTCACTTTGGACTATGTGACTGTTGCCAGCATCCATAGTAAATAAAGAATGAGTGATCTACTCATTTATTTATGAGCGACTAAAAGGCCTTAGGCCTATTACAGCCGTATCCTATTGATTGATTGATTGATCAACTTTGATGTTTGAGCATCAACCGTCATTGCAGATACCGGCCGCCACATCTGCATTATCATAGATGATGCAGTAATATAGTGATATTAAGCTATTAACTTTGGCTCTTTTCTTGCTGTAACAAATGCAACTTTCCCCTGTGTGGGAAGAATAAAGGTATTCTGATTCTGATTCTGAATAAGCATTGCATAAGATAGTCATAAAACAACAAAACACAAAATGGATCAGAGAGTATAAAAGTGGATTAGCTTTCAGTAGAGTGTATGGCACCGGACTGACCCAGGCAGTATTTTGCAGGTTGTTAGAAATTAAAATCAATGTTTTGATAGCATAATGCACCTTAAACATACCGTCAGTTTAAATGCTGTTTTATACTGAAAAACCAGAAGTTCTTGTGCACAACCAGTTGTTAAGCTTTTATTCTGAAAATCCTTCATCTCCGGTTAGCATGAGGCTAATATACCATTTACTATAGAGGTGAATTTAGCAGCGATATGATATGATGTTGCACACCGAAACCTACTGATTTCAACACTACAACTATAGACGTCGAGATATTATTATTGTTGGATAAGGTACAGTTTATTTGAGTACGTTATTGTTTACAGATGTGGGTAGCATGTGACAACATTCGGAACGACCGGAAACCAAACTGCTGTGAAGTATTTCCTGTATTTTTTGGAGTATTGATTACAGCGTTTAGAATGTGTTAACCCTCCTGTTACATTCAGGGTCAAATTG